TGTGGATCGTCCCAGGTCCACACACTGTCCTTATGTAACAGTTCCCGAATAGGTTGACTGTGTTGCGCGAGGTTTGGTGTAAACCTGCCTAATTGGTTTACCATCCCTAAGAATCTACGCACTTCTGGTACGTTGGTAGGGGCCGGAAACTTAACGATTGCCTCGACCTTCCTAGGGTCGGGTCGCACACCAAACGCGTCAATCACGTGACCGACGAAAGTGATTTGATCTTTAGAGAATTCGCACTTCACTTCGTTGAGGGTTAAGCCCGCCTTTTCAAAACACTGAAGTACACGGTCGAGTCTCGCGTCATGTACTTCTTGCGTCGGGCCGAAAATTAGCACGTCATCCATCTGGCAGAGAACACCGGGTATCCCAGTGAGTAGAGTCTCCATCCTTTTCTGGAAATATTCTGGCGCCGATGATATTCCAAATGGAAGTCGGTTGAAACAATAGCGCCCGAATGGTGTGATGAACGTGGTTAATAACCGCAACGACGGAGCCAGAGGGACTTGCCAAAATCCGCTATTGGCGTCTAGTTTTGAAAACACTTTCGCGCCTGTAAGTCCGTGGAGTGTTTCCTCAGTACACGGTAGCTGGTGATTCTCTCTCCTTACCGATTTGTTGAGCTGAGTCACATCTACACATATCCTTACGGTATTGTTTTTTTTAGGAACTACGACTAAACCAGCACAATAGTCTGTAGGTTCATCAACAGGGGAAATAACTCCAAGCGACTCCATTCTTGAGAGTTCATCTTCCACTTTGTCAAGCAACGGTAACGCTATGCGGCGCGGAGTGGATATCGCGAAAGGTTTAGCACCATCGCGTAACTTTGTCTCATATTCCCCACTCATCTTCCCTAATCCATGAAATAGGGTAGGATATTTCTTCCTGTAGTCGCCCGACTGTTGTACGGAAGCCATCATCTTGATGAGATTAAGCCTTTCAATAGCAAGTCTGCCTAATAAAGGTTTGGTAAGTTCTCGGATCACATATATTTCCGTAGATGACTGTGTTTTATCTGTAGCTAACACGCCTATGAACTTGCCTATGACTTTCAAAGTGTTCTGTCCAGCTCCCTGAAGAACTCTGTCTGCCGGCTGTAATTTGTGCATATGTCCCTTACCCTTCACTGCTGTGTAAGTTTTCTCGGGTATAGCAGTCACGTCAGCTCCTGTGTCGATTTTAAATTCAACTTTGTGATCGGCACCGTCCACAGTCAAACTCACCAACCATGGTTTACTTGAGTTATCGTTGATTACTCCAAGGAAATCAAATCCCTGCTCAGGTTGATACTGGTAGACTTCATCCACCGTAGCCTTACATTTCTTGGCGTAATGTCCCATCTTGTGACACTTGTGGCATTCCACATTCGATGCTGGACATTTTTCTCTGGGGTGACCTGGTGACTTCCCACATCTCTGACAAAAGTTATGAGTACTTTGAGTACTTTGATTTTTGTTTGAATGTCTGTTTTGAAAACGACTATTCCCTTGGCTCCCTTGAGTTTGCTTGTAGCTGTGCTTTTTACCAGGGCGATTTTTCTGTCCTTTCTTTATAGCATCTAAACCTACACTCAAGCCGTTTGCTGATCCGGATTCATCTCGGACTACACTCTGTTGTTTTTGGACTGCCTCGCGCTGCCTAACCTGAGTCACCGCTTTCTCTAGGGTCAAATTTGCGTCAAGCTGTAGTTTTTCCGACATTCTACTGTCACGGATTCCCACAACTATTCTGTCCCTAATCATTTCCTCTTTCAATGCTCCATACTCACAATGTTCTATGAGGGTATACAAAGCTGTAATAAAATTATCTGCAGATTCCCCCTCGTTTTGTTTCCTGTGATTGAATTTCGCGCGTTCAAATATGGTGTTCCGGCGAGTGACGAAATGTGCCTGGAACCTATCTACCACAGTTTGGAACGTTTTAGACCCATCCACCGTCAGAGCAAACGAATGGAAAATGTCTTCCGCATCATTCCCCATTGCGTAAATAAGAGTGTTGACTTGTATTGACTCATCCTTCGAAATCAATTCTGAAGCTACGAGAAAACGTTCAAATCTTTTCAGCCACTTTGGCCACTCTTCGGGCTTGGAGAACGTGAAATTTTCGGGCGGCTGTACCTGGTACGTCGCCATTGTTGTCTAAACTCGAAAGTGCGGGAGTTGCGCGAATGGAACAAATGATGGTTATATGAGCAATGTACGGTTAGTCATGCAAGAACAGTCATTTCACAACCTGATGTTACCACATTTCTTCGGTTTTCTGTATCTTCCGCTATTCTGACACCATGTTGTAAAGTGTCGTGAACGACTTCTGACACCATGTTGTAAGTTGTATTCGCCCTAGTTTGTTCGTGATACAGAGACAACGCATGTGGCTTGGTCAAGCCATGCTTTATTCAATTATCGTGACGTAGTACACAATACACAACAATCAGTACATACCGTTATAGTCTGTTTCATAGTAGACTCGCAATAGTCCGCCTATAGTCTGTATCATATAACTATGTATATATGGCTAACACTACAGATATAGGCAGGTTAGAAGTGATTGTGGATAAGTGTTTGGTTACGATCATGATCTTAGCGGGAAATATGCTTTATTTGTGTGTGATATGAAAGTCGATGTTTATTATTATTATCAGTGGGCCGTCGTTCGTCGTTGATGTAGCAAAAAGACCCTGACCCAATTGGAACACCTGGTCTTATTCTCCGTGTACTTTTTTTTCAATTGTCTCCTTTATTCTCCTTTCGATATAGTTCATATTTTGCTGTAGTTTTATTGCCGATTTTGAGTTCGAATAACGTCTTCCTGACACTTCGATATTCTCTTCATTTTGCTTTTGTTTGTCTGGTTCGATATCTATTTACGTATTTATTTGACAGCTACTGTTCAGAGTGGGTGGTACAACGGTTCTCTTATAACCCCCTGTATTTGACAGCTACTGTTCAGAGTGGGTGGTACAACGGTTCTCTTATAACCCCCTGGAAAGGTTTAGACAACCAAATAATCAACCCGAGGTTGACGATTCTCTGTTAAACCCTCCTCGTAGGGGATGACTATATTGTATACCATCATGTTATTTCAGTCACAACACCACTACATGTAACAGTAGACCGACATGTTTAAATTATTCTCAATTATCTCCTCCCGTCGAAGGCTAGTTATAGCGTCATCATTTATTGGTCCCCCTTCCTAAACGTCATCGTATTGTTCCGTTCCACCACGGAATTATAATAGATGCTATCTAAGTCCGTGGTTCCACCTGTCAAACTCAAGTAACAAACTTTGTGACAAAGAAATCCTAAACAGGTAAAACAGTAAATGTAGATTTATCAATATTGACTGGTACCTTTAAAATGCTAAAAGCAGCTTTTGATTAATTGTGTTATCTCATTTGCCTTAAATGATCACTAACATAGTGTAGTGTGTGATCAACAGCAGAGATAACTATGTATCTGTTGCATTAAATATAAGTGCTAGTGATGTCTTGTGTTCGTTATTTTAAGAGTAATTACTCAAATTTCTGTTAAAAATGCGAGCATACATATGACAATTAAGATGTATATTATTTTAACGCGATCTTATTAAAATCATCTGTTACATGGCTTCGTTAACAGGCGGAACCATGTAACAGATTACTTTAATCAGATTGTGTACAAGGCCGCTTTCGTTTATCGCGTCCCAAACGGTTGTACCATAGTTGTTCGTTTATGTATAGTATGATTGCCTTAATATCCAGGTGAACAATACAGGTCCTCTGGGCATCTGGTTAACACAAAGAATGGATATCAATACAAAGAGGAACCAATTAGCATACAGGCCTCAGTCAGATAATTTTCTCACACCATGATTTTTTTCGCATTTTTCCTCTACTTATATACGTTTTAAAGACCCTTTAATAAGGAGAAATAGGATATTACTCTTCGTTACAATTCAATGACGATGATCAGCTGACATGACCTTACTCATGTGATCATTTTAGTGCCCTGTTTATAAGCATTATATTGTACTTGCTTTTCACACAGGGTCACAGGGAACGTGGTATGGCAGAGTAGATATCCTCCTCAACCACACCATTGCCGTCTCTGTTGTGAAGAACCAAATAGGCAGGGATGAAGAGGCTGAAGATGATGGTACGGATGATTATGAACCTGAAAGTAAACAACGAAATGTAGAAAGTGAAAGTTGTGCTGTGTACCGGTTATAAATCTTCTGGGTCCATGAAGCGATAACAAATGGCTAGGATCGAGTTAACATGAACAAGGATACACTATCATATTTCTGTATTCCAACATTTGGAGCCACATCAGAACATGTCACTTTTTGTCTGTATGGCTCTGACAAAGACTGCCTACTACCCATCAGGACCTGTAACTTTTTGTCTGTATGACTCTGCCAATGACTGCCTACTACCCATCAGGGGACAGCTGGAGCGATGGGGTCCAGGAGGGATGAGGGACCAGCTAAATGTCACTACTGTAGCTGTCATTTGGATGTTCTTGAATTTCACTATTTTTACTCTGTGTGCTTTAATGGAGCTTGACAAGTCAGGATTAGTATGACTCTGACAATGACTGCCGACTACTCATCAGGACATGTCACTTTTTGTCTTTATGACTCTGACAATGACTGCCCACTGGTCCATGAAGCGATAACAAATGGCTAGGATCTAGGTAACATGAACAAGGATACACTATCATATTTCTGTATTCCAACATTTGGAGCCCCATCAGAACATGTCACTTTTTGTCTGTAGGACTCTGACAATGACTGCCCACTGGTCCATGAAGCGATAACAAATGGCTAGGACCGAGTTAACATGAACAAGGATACACTATCATATTTCTGTATTCCAACATTTGGAGCCACATCAGAACAGGTCCCTTTTTGTCTGTATGACTCTGCCAATGACTGCCTACTACCCATAAGGACATGTCACTTTTTGTCTTTATGACTCTGACAATGACTGCCTACTCCCCATCAGGACATGTCACTTTTTGTCTTTATGACTCTGACAATGACTGCCCACTACCCATCAGAACATGTCACTTTTTGTCTGTAGGACTCTGACAATGACTGCCCACTGGTCCATGAAGCGATAACAAATGGCTAGGATCGAGTTAACATGACCAAGGATACACTATCATATTTCTGTATTCCAACATTTGGAGCCCCATCAGAACATGTCACTTTTTGTCTGTATGACTCTGACAATGTCTGCCTACTACCCATCAGGACCTGTAACTTTTTGTCTGTATGACTCTGACAATGACTGCCCACTACTCATCAGGACATGTCACTTTTTGTCTTTATGACTCTGACAATGACTGCCCACTGGTCCATGAAGCGATAACAAATGGCTAGGACCGAGTTAACATGAACAAGGATACACTATCATATTTCTGTATTCCAACATTTGGAGCCACATCAGAACAGGTCACTTTTTGTCTGTATGACTCAGAAAATGACTGCCTACTACCCATCAGAACATGTCACTTATTGTCTGTATGACTCTGCCAATGACTGCCTACTACCCATAAGGACATGTCACTTTTTGTCTGTAAACCTCTGACAATGACTGCCTACTGCCCATCAGGACATGTCACTTTTTATCTGTATGACTCTGACAATGACTTCCTACTACCCATCAGGACATGTAACCTTTTGTCTGTATGACTCTGACGATGACTGCCTACTACCCATCAGAACATGTCACTTTTTGTCTGTAAACCTCTGACAATGACTGCCTACTGCCCATCAGGACATGTCACTTTTTGTCTGTATGACTCTGACAATGACTGCCTACTACCCATCAGGGAACAGCTGGAGTGATGGGGTCCAGGTGAGATGAGGGACCAGCTAAATGTCACTACTGTAGTTGTCATTTGGATGTTCTTGAATTTCACTATTTTTACTCTGTGTGCTTTAATGGAGCTTGACAAGTCAGGATTACATGAAGTATTATAGAAAGGTGGAAACAAGAGCAGTCATTGTTTCACTAATACCTGTTGGATTGCCATGGAAATTATCAACCAACAACCAAAAAGACGAAATAAATCTGCAATGATTCCTGGGTACTTCAAATAAAATGGGGGATATTGTGTTTTGTTCATGTATAGATATTTTTAAGAAGTTAAATACAACGGACTGGTGATGAAATTGTGTATCACTACTACCACTCTTTATAGCAGTGGTTACGTTAAGGCTCGTAGTGTAAGAAGTCTTGGGCCCTACCAAAAAGAGTTTTTTACAAATAATAGTACACAAACACCATTGCTGACACCATCATTTTTTGTGATTAAAAACGATACAACATAATGAAATTGTTTCACATTATCAATCAGCTATGAATTGAACCATTTATCAATTATACTGTAACTACATCCTAAGGGTGTTATGGTATTTATCAGTATATAATAATTATAATAGTAGTGCTACAGTAGTAGGTAACAGTGCTAGGAGGAAATCAGTGGTATTAATAGAAGTGGTATGATGCCAGAACTTATAGAATTGTTCTGCTAGCAAGTTAGTATAAGTAGGAGCAAGATACCAATTATGTGAATCAGACAGTCTAATAAAATGCATTACCTTTAACTTAGCGAGATAGGGTTATCTCGGTTGAGGGCTAAGTTTCTGTTACTTACTTAATCCTCTTTGACCCGTATGGACATAAGACATCAACAATGCGTCTCCATTTGTGTCTGTCGTTGGCAGCGTGTTGTGCCTCGCCCCATGAAAGCCCCATCTCTTTCAATTCCTGTGTGATGGTGCGTCTCCATTTGTCTTTGCACGGCCTTCGGCCTTGCTTTCTTTTTCTATGTGGTGTCTATTTCAGTGCAATTTGGGGGCGGGGGGNGATCCATTCTAGCCATCTCATTGGGCGGCGCTTGATTTCAATGGTGGCGTCCTGGCTGTTGGTTCTTCTGTAGAGCTCTTCCTTGGGCATCTTCATTGGCCAGAAGATCAATCTGATTAAAATCATATGTTACATGGCTTCGTTAACTTCGTACTACGCCTGAACATCTGAGTGTGCCGCGGTCAGGGTCACGTTCAGGTGACTTTTATATTTATAAATACTCATTAAATTTTGACCAATCAGAAACCCTCTTTCAAAAGGGCGCTCGGAGTTGCA